CAGCATTGTGACATATTTGTACACTTTTATTTTAATGCATAACAGAAAATTAACTTATTACTTGCTTGGTTTCACACTGCGTCTAAGCAACTGAACCTGGATTGATGACATCTTATAGCGGTAATTAATAATGCGATTAGCGTTGCTCGCTTCCTGAAGTTGCAAACTCAGTTTGCAGATCCCGCTGTTTTTCAAAACGTGCGGGTCGTCATGTCATATCAAGTCTGTCTACTGCTAGGCGCATTTACCACATTATATAGACTATATACACAGATTTATCACACTAAGAAACCAAAACTTTATAAAAATATAGAACTGACAGTGGCCAAAGTCCAAAACAAATGTAAGCGTAACATTAGACTTGAAAAAGCTTTAGAAATTCGATAAAATTCGAAGACTCAAGCGAGTTTAAAATTTGTGTTCTGCGCATAGTTACGCGCACGACCACAATTCCATGCGCTAAATAAAATTTAGTTCAAAACCCCCTCTCTGCACATATTAGACTGCTGCTACGCTCGCTCGCTTCAGGCTCGCTCGCTCCGCAGCAATAACGTGTTGTTAAACTTTTTATTATATTCATTTTGAAATCAATGGTGTTTCCTGCAATCTGATTGGTTCAAAGGAGTGCGATTTCAGCATGAATCGCACTCCTAGCAGTGCGATTCGTGCTGAAATCGCACCTTCTTTCAACCAATCACATTAGAGTGCTGACCTCAGCCAACCAATCATATTTAATCATAGGATTCAAACAGCCAATGAATTTTAAGAAAAATGTGATATGGCAAATGAGCAAAAACAAAAAATTTACAAGCCATGATTACTCTTGATTGCCTAACAATTTTTGGCACATAAAAACAAAAAAATATGGATAGCTACAGTAAACTATCAAACAATTCCAAAGAATTTTAATTTTTTTGAAATTTCACAAATAGTAACTGGCAAAAATGCCAACAAAAGCAAATTTAAAGCGTCAGGACAGACAGGACTCCGGGAAACAAAGGTAAATTCACCTATCGTATTTCCAAATTTAAACGCACAAAACTGCACCAAAACTCTTTCAATCACTCATAAGACCTACAACATGTTTAAACTTACTTGTGTTGTCTCTTATTCTGTATAAATGTCTTCATTTCTTTAAGATTTTGGCCGTATTTGAACATATTTATAAACAAAGCTTACAAAACTTCATCTTGTTCGCTTGTTGTTGCTATGCTACAGCACTCAGGGAGGTACGGGAGGTGTGTCTTTTGCAAACAAAAACGTTTCCGGTTTACAAAAATATTTAAGATTTCAAAATGAATATAATAAAGTGGAAATTGAACTTCGTGTCGTGCAATTTGCGGGAGTGCGATTTGTAATCACAAGTTTGATTTCAGTCCTAATAATATACATAAAGATATTACTCGACTGTGATTGGTTGATTTCAGTGCAGTTAATCCCAAACAGCAGTGCAATTTTCTGTAATCACAGTGCAATTCTCTGTAATCACAGTGCAATTTTTTGTAATCACAGTGCAATTTTCTGTAATCACAGTGCAAAAATCTGTAACAAACTGATCTGATTGGTGGAAAAACATTGTGATGATTAAATCAACCAATCAGTTTAAAGCAATTTAGTTTTAAAGAAGTAACGGTCGCAGATTGCTTCAAAAGTCAAAACAAAACAAACATGGCGCCACGCTACAGTGAAGTAAAAGTTGCTTTCGCGTGAAAAATATGGCTTTTATCTTTATTTTTAAATGGAAAAGCATTGACCTTAAACAAGACTAACAAAAATTACATAGTTGAGTGGAATTTTCAAGCTGTTAGCGTTGCATAATGTGATATAACAAAGTCAGGAAAAGTTTTCCGGTGGAATGTTCACTATAAACGCGTAAGTTAAAACTACAATTGTCTCGAACATTTTTATGTAAATTATTAATAAGTAATAGTATGGTTTCTCGTGAAATTTGGATAAACATGCACTTGTGAGTTTTTCAAAGACCTCAAATGGCACTCGTCCTTCGGACTCGTGCTATTTCGAGGTCTTTGAAAAACTCACTCGTGCATGTTATATCCAAATTGCACTCGAATTATCATTATGATCAATCCCTCAGGCAGCACTCCACTGAACGCAAAGACGCGAAAAATATTGACATGCCGGGTGCATGCCCGAGCATATATTATAAAAAATATTTTACTAAGAGATTAAAATATCTTTGTAAAGCGCACGATTTTCTGCTCTTGAGAATTTAAAGCAGCTACTTAATTAAACAGTTTCTTTATACATATGAAATTGTATATCAAGCTTTTATGCACTTGTGGGTTCAGCAGAATGGTATTCAAATTCTAACAATACGTTGTTTCAATAGTTATTTCAAAACTACGCAATAATCTTCGACAAACGAGTAACAGATTCAATCACTGCAGGGGGGGGGGGGGTATGGATGCGTATCTTTCACGGTAGTTAACTGTTTAATGTTTATTCTATTCTACGGAATGTAAGGTAGCATTAGTACATGATAGGGTTTTGGTCATGGTAGGATTAGGCGAGGGTAGGATTTCGTTGAGAATAGTGTGGGGGTTTAGACTAGCATTTGGATATGGTATACGATTTATAGGAAGGGGTTAGGTTATAATAGGGCTTTTGGTAGGGTATAGTTTGGTATGAGGGTTTGGATTACGGTGATGTTGGAATTAGGGTTGATGTTACGTAAAAATAGGGTTAAGATTCCGCTCGATTGTCTATGGTCTGATTCAGTTATAATTTTGGGGGGTCTTATTATAAATAATAGCATGGCTTGAGGGAGATTAGTGATTAAATGGCCCCGTAACCCGAGGCAGGTTTGCGGAAACCTGCCGAGGGTAAGGGGTCATTTAATCACTAATCTCCCGAAAAGCCATGCTATTAGTTTGTAATAGCATAGTTGCGCTCCCATTTAAAAATGGACAAACATGCCCTACTTGGAATCAGCGTATTTAAGCTAAAACATTTGCTTCATTGCTTGTGGGATGTAAAAGCTTGTTGCACATGCGCACTTTTTACGCTTTAATCGGCTACGCATGCGCAATCTATCATTTAACGTACCACAACAAAAAACGCTAAATATATTAGTATAAAATTGGAGACTGCATGTGCGTAATTTAAATGCTGCGGCAACTCAGGGATCGGATGATAGACTGTTGAGGGCTCCGAGCTAACTGTTGCTGTTCCTTGCACGACTATGTGCGTGAGGCACTTGCCTAATGCGTAGTCGTCAGGGAGACAAAGGTGTGACCCCAGCCTAGACCTAGGCCTTCTAGTCTTATTTATATATTTTTAATATTCAGCGCTTTTTCACATGAAAAGACTGGGACTAGGTGATTTGGGGGCGGGGCGGAGGAAGCAAGCCTAGAAGGCCTAGTGGATTTCCCAACAACAAGGCCAAAACTGCCCTGAAACTGCTCCTGGTTGCGAAATGCCCAATTATTGCGTTCTCAAACAGAATTATTTGCAACTTAACGGCGAATTTAAACCGATACAGGTAAAATAAACTCATTTATAGTATAAACTAACTATTTTTATTTGTATACACGTCTAGAAAATCGGGTTTTTTATCATAAAGTTCGAAGCAACACTATTATTTAATATGTTGACAAGGTGAAGCGAAAGCACAAAATGAGTCAAAATATATACCAAAAGTAGAATCTTTATCAGTTATAGACCTGAAACGAGGGGTATTCCACAAAAAATTACCCTGAGGGATGAAATATTCCGAGGGCGAAGCCCGAGGAATATTTCATCCCGCAGGGTAATTTTTTGTGGAATACCCCGAGTGAAAGGTCTATAAATGGTATATTATACCGAACCTTTCAAAAATAAGTAGAAAACAAATTGGGCGATAAAATTAGGCGACGGACTAAGTTCAAAGTCGAATTTCCCGCTCAAGCGTGGTATTCGAAGTCGAATACCATGGCCCCGGGTAAAACACCCAGGGTTCAAATTGCCTAGGTCATAGTATTCGCTAAAAAATACCATGGTCATGTGGTACAAATTTAGTTCTCTGATTGGACAAGCTCATTGTGAGGTATAATATTTCATGAAATTTTGTCTTATACACAACTACATTAATATATATTTTCTCAATTTTGGCAAGAAGCAGTCTTGTGTTTGTAAAACATACAAACACATATACAATTATAATTTATTAAATAAAATGGATACATATATTATTAGCGCGTACAGTACTGTATATAAAAACGTACATTGTTTACAAATGGTATATCCGTAATATTTGAACAATAATTTCAAAATCCTCATTCCCGATTCGCAAATATAGTTATTCAAAGCAAAACAGTAGATTGTCTTGCGAATAAAAGAATTATTATTTTGTGCTTTCGCTTCACCTTGTCAACATAACAATAGTGTTGCTTCAAACTTTATGATAAAAAACCCGATTTTCTAGACGTGTATACAAATAAAAATAGTAAGTTTATACTATAAATGAGCTTAAGCCTGCCGCACACGAGAGCTATCTGCTGAGCAAAAAGTTACTCGTGCCTGTTAGCTCAGCTAATAGCTCACCGATCAAACATGTTTGATACGTGAGAAAAGGTTGCATGAGGCAAAAAACTCAGTAAAATGTACCCGCACACGGTGAGCTATCGGCTGAGCTAACAGGCACGAGTAACTTTTTGCTCAGCAGATAGCTCTCGTGTGCGGCAGGCTTAAATGGCTCGCAAAGAATAAATTATAAAATAACATTCTAACCTGGAGTACAAGGAGTTTTCTATGCAAATGAAAGAGGCACAAATTTATAGAATATAACAATATTTTGCCGTAAACAATATCAAATTTGAAATTGCAATTGTTATTTTAAGCTAAGAGTGACAACTTGCACGTCACATACCAACGTTGCTATGGCTACAAAAGTATCATATCCGTAATCTTTCGAATCTCATTTAAATATATAGTATACACATTGCATCATATTACAAAGCAATAAAGGTTAACTATTGCAAATATTCCGCTACAGTTTCGAAATGGCTGATCTTTGGATTATGCTTGGTCTTGTTATAAAACTGACGCTCTTCTGTCTTATCGTGCTTTTCCTTGTCTTTTCACTGTATGTTTACTACATGCACTACAAGCTTAGCCATATTGAAGGCCCGCCTCGAGGCAACTTTTTCCTGGGTAATTTGCTCGAAATTCGCAGGAGAAGGCTTGTTGATGGCAACAATATACATCAAACATTGGCCGACTGGTCGATTGAATATCGCCCTATGTTTGTCATATGGTTCTTTCATGTCCCTCTAATCGTCATCAGCGACGCCGATATTGCTCGTCAGGTGCTTGTCGTTAAGAATCTACCTAAGGATCATTTTGGTTATAAGAGATTTCAATATGTATACGGACAACGATTCCTTGGAAGTGGCCTTTTCTCGGACTTGAATCGTCTCACTTGGGAGACGAAGCGACGTACGTTTACACCGTTGTTCCATCGAAACAAGCTGTTCGATGGGTTTCCAACATTAAATTCCTGCTGCGATAATTTCCTCAGCAGGCTGGAAAAGTATGCCGACGGAAAAACCGAGATCTCCCTAGCTGACGAATTCTTGCTGGTAACTTTGGAGACTATTCTAAAGGTTGGTTTCAGTCACTATAGGGCTAAATTGCAGAATACCCGTCCACTAGTTATATCATATCATGTAGCCACTATTTCACTGGATACGCGGATACGCGGTCAGAACTTGTTATAGTATAATACTATTTCACTGGATATATACGCGGCCATGCAGAACTTGTTAATATATATTTATTCGTATTCGATTAATAGGCCTAATAAATAGAGTGATAGATCAAATTCTCATGTTACAGGTAGCTCTATTTTAGTGGATACGCGGATACGTGGATACGCAGTCAATTTTATATAGTTTAGCGATCAAAAATGGTCAGCGGATAAAATAACTGGTTGACTGCGTATCCACGTTCCACTAAAATATAGAGCTATCTATATTACTATATACCATGAGAATTTGATCTATTAATGCTAAACTAACTGTATTCCTCGTTCTCAAAATAAAACTCACTGCGTATCCACGTATCCGCGTTTCCACCAAAATATTGAGTAACTGTATGCCTCGTTCTCAAAATAAAACCTAATGTGATTGGTCAGCTGATTAAAACATCGTATTGCCCCTTTTGACCTACATTATTGACCTACAGTATATTGCATCAACCTATCCTCATCAACCTATCCTCATCCCAATATCCTCATTTAACCTACAGATGACTCTGGCTTGAAGTTTCGTAATAGGACGTTAAAACAGGGACGTAGTGAAGCATCACAGAAAGAATGTGAAGCGAAGGTATGGTTGCTGAAATTTGAACTGCGATGTTAAAAATTTACCTGAAGTGTAATAATTATAATAGAGCTTTTTCTGATTTATTTCCATAGTTATACTAAGTTTCCGAAGAAAAGAGAGGCCTGTGGGTCCTCGCCCAGAAAATGTTTACATTTTTGAAGCTCCAGGACTGCATTTCTGGCGTTTTCTAAACCAAATTCACAAAGGAATTGGATCTAAATCGACTGTATTTTCCAAAAATGGATGTTTTCACAAAATTAACGCCTTTACTACGCGAATTTTACCTGAAAATTCAAATTTTAGTGATGAATTTAAGCTGATTTTTACCTTAGTTTCCGCTTTTGACTCTGGAGTTTTGAAATTATGAATACTAGATTAGGTGGATAATATATCCAAGTGAGCATACATATACACTATTTAAGACCTAACCAGGAACGGTTGCGAAACATACAACACTAGGCCCTCTGGCAAGAATCGAATCTGCGCGGCCCAGAACTGTTCTGGTTGAAAAGTTGAGGTAGTCGTACTCCTCTTTTGTCATGCAAATAACCGTGCACAAGTACTTGGGTTAATAGTTTCTCTTTGGTATAGTAATCATTGGATAAATAACGAACGGTGTGCTCTATAACATTAAAAATTTTCCTTTTTAAGTGGTCGTGTAATTTGGAGATGAATAATGATGATCGCCTTGTATTTGAAAAGAACTTCAAAAATGCTTTACATGGCATTTCACTAAGCTTTCAAAGTCCAGCGACCGCATACATGCCGTGGTCAAATTTAAGACGAAGATGTGTGGAAGGCGCTCGCCTTACTAGGGTAACTGCAAAAAGTGTTGTGGAAATGCGACAGAAGGATATAGATGCTGGTAAGGAGATACCTGAAGATGCACTATCGTATGTTTTGAAATTGAAAGAAGCTTTGCCCAATTGCGACATTGAAGACTTGGTGGATATGGTCGTTACAGTTGTGTTCGGAGGTAAAATTCTTGTGTCTTTTTGTCTTGCACGTTCGAAAATTATTAGGGAGTAGTTCAACTGTTTCTGTATCAGATTCATGTGCGGAACCTCCCCCCAGCTTATTGTAATATTTACTC